GCTTTCAGAAAGATAAAGCTGCGTAGCAAAGGTAAAAAAATAAAGCGGAAAAAGTCTCATTTTGGATATTCCTTGAGCCGACTTTTTATAATCTTTTGCTTCATAGAAAGTGCAAGTTTAATGAGAAAGAAAGGTAATGTGAAAGATAAGGGGAAACCCGGTAATATGTGGGGCTATATGCTTCCTTATTTACTGAAGCTCATAAAGCTTTGAAACAGAAGTATGAAATTTGTAAGACGTAAGGTCCGAACCTAGGACTTATGTTCCACCAAGGCATTGCGGGAAAATACATATTTACATAAGTACATATAGTATGTATATATGTATAGGTATGTACAAAAATATGTATAAAGTTAGAATCATGGGCAAATGCAACGCCGAATTAGTCAAAAGTTGTAGAAAAATAGAATACAGTTGTAGAAGTATACAGAGTATCGATCGCTTTACAACGTACAGCGTTCAAGTTGACAGCTAACCGTTCCACACAGTGTGATAGTTCGAGTAAGGTACTGTCAAAATTGACTGATGATGCACCGTTGAAATGCCTCTAAACTATTTTCTTATACATAATTGGTGCATGCAAGGGTTAAAATTTCTTTTTTTTGACTAAAATCTCCAGTGCAAAGCGACCGACTGGCGTAAATTTTTTTGCAAAATATTTATTTTACAAGTGGGCATACATACATATACCTGTATACATATGTATGTATAATACCTATCGGTATATGTGCGTATTGGATTTAATATTTTCATTAGTTTAGTTTGTATTTTGTATAGAGTGAAAGCAGTTAACATTAATATATGTACATACATATACACAAAATATCGAATCGGTATATATGTATGTATATAAATATGTACCTATCTACTCGGTATGTATCTATAATATTGTTGCAGAATTCCAATGAAACTGTTGTTATGTAGCCAGTTGGCCACTGAGGATGAGTGAAAGCGACGGAAATACTTCAGGGGTACACAAAATATCGAGTGGGTACAGTGTTCAATGCATTCTTGAATGCACACTACTGTACTTTTCTGAGTGTGTTTGTGTGTAAATTTTGTATGCGCGTGCCTGTATTGGTGTGCGTACAGCTATAAGACTGAAGGGCTTCGTTTTTATTGCCTGTTTTATTTGTTAGCATAGCGGATATTTGGCGGTGGATTACGTTCAATGGTTTTTTGGTCAAAGTGAGCAACGCGTAGACAAAGTACGAAAATTCAAATAGACTGTATATGTAAATATGTATTTACTATATATATTTTTTTTGTATGTATCCATGTTTATTATTCTTAATCTCTAAGTTCTTTTTACTAGAAAATTTAATCGCTAGCGCTGGTAAAGTCGCTTTTACTCCGAAGCGTGCTTGTAACTGATATTTTCTTCAGTTCGTGTATGTATGTACTTATGTGCAGCTATACATATACAATATTTCAATGTGTGTGTGTAAATGCACTTAAATTTATTTCAACTAAATTATGTTGAAATTTAGGGGTGGTAACTTCATGATAATTTATTAACGTTAGCACAGATGCTCACAGTGCCCGTTTTAGTGGTCGTTGCTTGTGGCTTGAGGCTTGAGGCTGGAAATTTTCAAAATGGCGTTTTGACTTATGAAAATGTATGTGTGAGTGTAAGCATTTGTTAATCTTTAGTTTCCTAGAAATACTTACTTATTTACGTGCATACACATTTTGCATGGCAGCAGCTACACGGTAGGTCGAATATTTAGGTATTCGTATAGGTAGATAGTGCAAACAATATATGTTTCGCTTCTACTTACCGAAAATTCCACGTAAAGCTGATTTGACTTAAGCCTACATATGTACATATGTAGTATATAATGCACAAATAATTAAACATGCTTCCAAGAACAATTTAATTAATTCCAGTAAGAATATGACTTAGTATTTACCCTTTAGGGGTAACATGGGTTCCACGGCTTAAAAAAAAATAAATAAATGTTGTTGTCTTATTTAATTCTATAACATCTCTAGCATATTGTCTTGAATTCTCAAGTAGATACCAGTAATGGTTTGGGAGATACAGCTTTAAAAATTTGCGCGCTCGAGGTCAGCTATATGATCACTTAAAACTTTGAACGCGTTTTTATGGAAACTGTGTTTTCAAAATCGGTTGTCAAGATTTATCGCAAAACTACTCAAATGATCTTAATGAAATTTGACACAGGTCGTTGAGATATAATTCACAAGGTCTTGCACGAAAGATTTTTTTCAATTACAACTATTTAAAAAAAAAAAACAAAAAACGTCGAGAAATTTTCACCGAAATTTGCATGTTTTTGTAAAAACGTCTGCCAAAAATCAAATTTTCACTTAATTTTTTTTTCTCATCCCAAAACCTAGCTAATGGTTTTAGTTCAAAAAAGTAGTAGGAAGCAGCTTTTTTCCGAGGTACTGTCGGAAATGACGTCGTAAAGACGAAGTGTTGAATATTTTCCTTTAAAAATTTCACAAAATTTTATCAAATATATATCTTCGAATAATAAAAAGTTTGAATAAAATATTTAAATTTTTATATGGAAAAATTTTTTTTGAAAATAGGGTTGTTTTGCTCGACGAAATCCATGTAACCCCTTAATAAACCAGTCGTGTTGCTCTGACACTAGAGCTGCAAAACTATCTATAGTCGGACCACACGTTAGTTTCGATAGTTTAAAAAAATTCTATCCATAATATCGGCAGTGTTTCCACTTAAAATCTACTTACTTTTCGCTGGTTCAAATGAAGAGATCTTGGATTTGTACACTTCATTTTTATGAAATATCTTTGGATTTATTTATAAAACAAAACATAAATAATAACGGAAAACACAAAAAAATATTCGTCAAATTACATATACAATTTTTCATGTTACTACAGGTTGGTCATGAAAAAATACTGTTTTTGGTACGAAACATATTTGTTTATTCAATATAATCTCCCTTAACATCAATACACCTATTCCAAGGATGCTACAATCATTTTATGCCATCCCTATAACGACTTAACCTCCGCAAAATACCTGTCTACGGCTGTAATAGCTTCTTCATTCGACAAAAAACGCTTTCCACGAAGGAATTGTTTCAGGTTTCTGAAGAGGTAGTAGTCGCTGCGAGCCAAATACGGTGGATGCTCAAGCAAGACTTAGCAGAAACTCTTCAACCAACCTGTATGTAAACTGAGCTCTGAGCGTTGACGATTTATAAAAAGATACATTTTTTACACATTTACTAATGTAAATATAGAATTCTAAAACTATCTCCCTTAGTTATAGTTATTGCCTAACTTTGAGGGTATTTCTGACATAAACAGCTTTGTGCAAATTCCTCAAACGTGCTTGGGAAGGCTAAAACTTGTAAAATTTTCGTGTCAAAAAACACAAGAAATCACTTTTGAGGAAGAAAGAGGAAAGATGTTCGCGCTTAATCACTAGTGCTTAAACTAGGTTCTGCTGGTTGTCGACCAATAATTAAGAAGCCAACAGTGTACTCAAATTGGTGAATAGAAAATAATCGATTACAGGCAAATGGACGAGCATATGATGGCGGCAAGAGTTGGAACTACTTAAATATGCCTTCACAATATGTATAAACAAAAATATGTACATACATACATATGTTCGAGTCGAATTTTTAGAAAAATCGTACCTTCAAATTCCATACTAGCTTCAATTTTCCATGCTGCAATATTTCAGTTACTTACACAGCCATATTAATATTAACATTTCAAATAAAAAAAAGCAATTAAAACAAGCTAAGCAGCAGATGCGAATGAACTGCCGACGGTCAAACAAAATACAGTAAATCTGTATGTGCATATGTGTGTGTGTCCGTTATGCCGTTGAGATAATATAGATAGTACAACATTCATACATATCAATTCGAGTACGCCGAGAGATCTTAGAGCGCCAAGTAAGCGATACCTTTGCATACGAGTATATAATATGTGTGCATGTACATTGTTTTTCTTTTTTTGCCTAGACGGTACAAACATACATACATATGCATGTACGTAAGTTGCGGGTGTTGCGGTGTTGTAGGACGTGGGAACCAACGAACACTTCGCGCCAAACCAACACTGGCGATTCACGAGTAGAAACCCCAATCATTAAAAAATATAAATAAATATGTTTGTGTGTAGTGGTGTGCATACACAGTGTGTCATAGAAGTAAGCATTGCCGCTTTGATAGCCACATTTTTTCCAATGCAATAAAAAATTTTCTGTGACAGCTTATTATGGAGAAAAGAAAATAATATATAAAATAAGTTTACAAAATTTATCAAAAATTCGAAAAAGCCCGTTACAGGAAGAATTGGTTTTAATAATTAAGCTTATATTGGCAGGAGGTTAGAGTGCTTACTGGATTTTTAATTCTAATTCTCATTAAAATTCCAAATAGTTCTGCTTTTTTTTTGTTGCTGGATGGATACATACATACTATTATGTATTTAGAATTGAAGTCGCGGGATATCGGGGACAACTGCTCGCGGAAACGGAGTTTTCAGGCAATGGGCGATGCTCTGTATCAATTTTTTTCTCCAGCATTTCACTACAATCCTCCCCGGGCTCCGGTTTTGTACAAGTGAACGAGAGCGGGGATATTCCCCGATAGCAATTCACCACAGTCCCCCCCGGTGCTACGGTTTGCTCTCCACTGCCTGTTATGCACCTGTTATGCAAATGTATTGTACATATGTATGTATGTATGGGTGTATGTAGACAAAATGTACAGTTATTTTTATCAGGGATAGCCCCTTAGGAATTAAAGTCAAGCCTCCTGCTGTATTTATTGCTTATTCTATTCTAAAGCTTTAGTTGTTGAAGAACGCTAGTATGTATTGTATTAGTTTTCAATACTAAATAATTTTTTTGACTGTTAGTTGACTTTTCTAACTCGATTTTTCTTTCGAATACAAATGTATATTAGTGCAGTAGTTCATATCTCTCTAAGACCTCTTTTTAAGTTCTTTAGGTGCGTACATTATAGTAACCAGTATTTACCAATATGTAAATGACTAACGGTAGAACTGATGTGCTGTAACAGGAACCGACAAAATTCCTTCTCTTATTTTTTGTTACAGCATATTTTCACTCACCAATCGTACGACTAGCTTAGTGGCAGACTGTAAGCACCTTTGCAAATTTACTATACACAATACGTACATACACATATAGTATATATTGCCGATAAAGCTAAACAAACGCTAAAATAATAAAAATGTGAAAGCAAAAAACCGCTAAATGAACGGTAACTACCCTGTAAGAAAATTATTTATTTTAAAATCCTATTGGAGAATTCGTTTGGTAGAACCAGAATCATGAATTAATTAACATTTTCTGGTAGAACCCTGTACCCACATAATTATCGACAACTTTTCAAGACAATATTCGGACAGCAGATACATACGATTCGGCGCTAAACATTGGCAGAAATACACACCCGCATATGTACATACATTTGCTTGTTTATCTATTTGTAGTAAGTACAATATATATGTATGTATGTATGTATCTAATTTCGGTCACCACTCGCTAGCGCTGTGTGTATTAATAATTTGGATTCGTATTAATTACCAAACCACTCCGCTTTTCCCATTGGCATTTCACATAACAATGGCAACAACAACAACAACAGCCGACGCCAAAATGACAGCACCGCATGTTCGGGCGCACATGGTTTGAAGGTGATTACCTTTTACAAAAACAAAAATAATACACAAGTTTCCCATTCATACCGAATATAAAGCACAATAACAACAAAAATGTAGGTACAAGAGAGTGAGCACACGAGTAAACTATGCGAATGAGTGTGCGAGCAAATGAGTAAGCGAACGATTTCCAATATGAATAGCCGAAATGACAACACCAACACGACGCCGGCGACGTCATCGCAGCTGTGGAGCCACAGCGTAAGCAGCTGAGTACTCGCGCACGCAGTACCTATATAAAAGCAACAACAAGAACAAATATATGTACGTAACACGACGTAATTTTATACACGAAAAAGAGACCAAAGAAGAAGAAGCAGCAGCAACAGCAGTAGACATTTTGTTGAGTAGAGTAAACGCGCATTAATTGTAGAAAAAGAAAAAATAGCAGCCCGCTGTGACGGGGCCTCTGGCACGAGACTAGTTGGAAACGGCAATACTCGTAGCGACGACACTGCTGCATGGCAGTCGACTATGGCCGCAGATAGACACACATCCAATATATAAATATGTACATATTAATGTATGTATGTAAGTATGTAGAGGCAGCGCACAAACAGTACTGTGAGGCGCAACGTGGAGCCAACACCAGGCGATACCAATACGCTGCAATGACTTGTTGTTGCTTTTGTTTTTGTAGTTTTCTGGCTGTTATTGGCACAACAGCTTTTTGCGAAACCTCACCAAAAGCAGGCAGACGAGCTGGCGAGTGGGACCCACAAGAAATAGATACAGCGCAACGGCGACGTCGTTGCGTTTTTATTGAGTGTGTGCAGCAGGCTTTGAGAGTGTTTGCACAATTCGTTGCATTAGAATGCGCAAACTACACACATATATATATATATATATATGTACATATATACACAGACGTTTGGGACAGCGAGTGAGAGCGCAATTGAAAGCTATTGCTGGCGTTTTGGCGCTTGGTAGTATTGCATGGCTGAGAGGGGGAGTGTGCATGGGATTTTGGAGTGCTGACGACAGAGGCTGTCTGGCAATGAATTGAGAGCATGAGCGAATGCACACTTGCTTAAATAGTATGTATACATATTGTTTGTATGTATAAGTATAAGTAATCTTTGGTTATTTTATTTGCATGTTCTCTGTCATATTTATTTGCTAAAATGTTTTGTAATCGAATTTCGGTATGCACCGGCTGTTGGCACTAAAAGCAAGCGCCTCCACTTTCGGTAGCCTTTGCCGTCCCGTGCCCACTACCACTCCCACTTATAATTGTTACGAGCCGAGTAGACATTTACATTTTGTTGTATGTTAGTCTGGCGCTTAGAATATTTGAGGTATTACGTTAGGTTCGTTGTTGTATTTTTGTTATTTATTATTTCTTTTATTATCATCTTTTGTTTAGAAAATGCGAGTTTATGGTAGCTTTCATAACTATGACTGAGCTGACGAATGACCCTCTCAACCAGGGGTGACCAAAAAATGAAACTATAGAGCCGCACGTCATGCCTATACAACGACGCCAGAGAAGACGACGCTGAACACACATTCTTTAAATGTCTGCGATGGTAACGGTAACGGACCGCCGTAGAAGACCTGGTTGGCTCAATAAACGCGGATAATATAATTAGCGCAATATCCGGGAGAGCGAAGTAAAGTGGAAAATTATTCAGAAATACACAACAATTGTGCTATGCAGCAAAAAGCGGTAACTGGGCACAGGTGCGCAGATGTAAATCTCTCACAGAAAGATATGGAACGGCACACTGAAGTATTGTAAACGTGGTTCCAGGGTGGGCGATAGCTCCATAGTGACCTGCAAGTGACACATAACGTTGCTGTGACAACCGCTTTGGTGATGCAGAAGGCATTTTCCGTCTTGTCACTCGCAAAAAAAAATGTACCGTGAACCAGACTTCACCAACACAAGTCCACTAGCTTGCTGTGATCATTTTGCGAATTGTTCTTAAAAAACTGTGTTTGTTGTAAGTGAATTTGTTGGGAGCCAAATGAGCTAAGTATGTCGTGAGCATCTCTATTTGCTCGATTATTATCATTGCTATGATTTAAGGAAAAGTACCTAGCATGTTCCCTGCCTAGTGCTAGGACTGGCTAATTTAAACAGCGCACGCAAACCGAATCGATAAAAAAATTTGGTTGGTTTGGAACAAACTATTTATGTATGTTCGTGTGTGAAGTTTGACCTACATATGTATGTCAATTAGTGTGTGTTTGGCAGCTGTTTGTTTACGACGGGAAAGATTTATCTGGCGATTTTTATATACATAAGTACACACTTGGTTAATGGAGAACAGAACTAAGCGATCTGAAATTATGTTTACAAGTTTTTAGAAAGTACAATATTTATGAGCGCTGTACAGTAGACATCATAGTATACAAATTATGCTAGTTAATGTATGAAAGCAGCTTGTCATGAGTCGACTTTCAGGCAATGCAGCCTGTTAGCCGACTTAAGTTCTATAGATGAAGAGGATCCGTTTTACACGAAATTTAAATCGGAAAAAAACATGTTTAGAATACATTTGGGTATATTTAAACGAATTTTTGAAAACCTTCACAATAAGCAAGTGCATCAAATTCGCCCAGCGTCGACAATTCGTTATGAGAATATGAGTAGTTTGCTAAAGTAAGTTGATTCAAAATGATGTTTCAAAATTTATTGCTTAAACTTCAGTAGGTAGATTGCTTCGTCGTTTCATTTGCATCGCTCCATAACGTAACTTCCATAAATTTGGTTTGTATGTAAATATTTATCGCAAAATTTTATCTCTACATGAGCTGTTCTCTCACCTGTAGAAAACTTTTAATGCTATTTAATGCAAAAAAAATAAATTTAAATACAAATCTACATCCATATATTTGTTTATTCATACATACATATGTATGTATATATGTATGTATATACTATGCGCTCTCTTTTGTCTTTAGCCTGCTTTTCTTCATACCCAGTCGCTGCACCTTAAATGTATAAGGCTTCGCTTTATTAAAATTAAAACGAAAAGTTGGTGCAAAGCAAATAAATAACGCCAACTGCAACTTCCATAGAAATATGGCGTTGCAACACGCTGCTATTTCTATTTAAATTGTTAATGTGAGTGCATCCGTTATTTATTTATTTTTATTTTTATTTTTTTCTGCTTTGTTGTGGCTACTTTCGCAACGAGTTGTTTGCTTCTTATTTTAGTATAGTTGTGCCATTTTCCTGGCGAGTACATAAAAAATATGTACATACATACATATGTATGTATTTGTATAGGTATACTTATAAATAACTGCAATGGGTAAAGGGTGTTGCAATCGGTTGCATCTTCGTTTAATAGCTAAAACCCGCAGAATTTGGCTTCAAATACGATATTTGCAAACAATTAGAGTAAATTCGCTCGTTCGCTGTGTAAGTTTCGGTGGGTTTTGCTATGTACTAAGTAAGTAGATTGCTATCAAATATGACCCGAACTGCTCCAAAGTTCGTCTGCAAATTTTTATCATGAAAAAAAATATGAACGATTCTCTTGAAATTTTGTGTTTCGCTGGAATCACGGCTTTTTAACGATTCCGTGAAAATGTTGCAGCAGTGTTTTGGGTAGTTTATTTATCACGAAGACAAGTATTTGAGTGACACAATGCGAGGCGTCTAGCCAGCTCTGTTAATGACGATAACAGCGAAAAAGCTCAAGAAACAATGCTTGAAAATAGTCGTGTTGGCAGCAGAGAGACAACAAAGGATATCAACATCTTTTATGGCACGTGTTGATACATTTTGGTTAATGTTTTGGTTATAAAGCGTGTCATTGCTGGACTCGTACCAAAACGGCTGAATCTTTTGCAAAAACGACGTTTAATAGAGGTGGCAAAAGAGATGCCTGTTAACGTAGCTGAGGAGCCCACATTCATCAAACGCATCATTACTGCGGATGAGACGTGGGTTTATGAATATGACGTGGAAACTGTCGAAAAATCTAGCGAATGCGACGAGATCGTAAAACAAAAATATACGCTGAAGGCACTAAAGGCCATCACAGCCAAAGCTTATAATTAGTGTACAGAAAATTGGATTAAGTCAGTTGGCATGCTCAGACGCTTATTTTGAAGGCGATAATAAATATTTGTAATAAAATGCAGTATTTTTTGTCAGTCCGGTTTAAATTTGATCAAGTGGTATGATTTTAAGGTTTTGTGGAATAATACAGTCCTTCTAGTTTGACAGCGTAAAAAAGAAATGAAGTGGTTTGAAATAACTGTGTTGGGATCTGCATTTCCAAGCTGAAATTTCAGGATTTTTTTTTTAAGTGATGAAAAAGAACTTTGCAAAGCTATCCAGAGTGTTCAGAGCGAATTATTTGCGTGCTATATACATATTTATGTACCAATATCTTTTCATACATATGTATGTATGTACCATATAGTATGTATATGTGTATGTAAATCGTTATTACTTTATATACATACATGTATACAGTTAAACAACAGAAAACTTGCAATAAAGTTTCTAGAGCAGCTTCTAGAAAAGTTAATTTCTCCGATTGCACCGTATACAACATTTTATATAACTTCTTTAAAACTTATTTGCTTGGCACTAAATGAACACACACACCCCTTTAACCCAAAGCTGATATACAAACAAATTTGTAAAAACGAAAACTCGGAAAAGATATTCGTATATCCCGGGATATATAAGTATATACTTACATATATGTATATGTACATATGTACACACATACCTACATATGTACATAAATTTATTATTTAAGTTAGTTTGCAATCCAATCGGTAATGGTCTTTAACCCCCATACCGCCAATTCCTGCAATATCATACCAACGACGTTGCCACCCGTTGTTATTCAGCACTCAATTATACACACACACATATATACTTATGCACACACAGTTATTAGTATGTAAATAAAAAATAAGAAGTGCTACATAAAATACGAAGCTTTAAACGAACGCATACGAAGTATTTGCCGAACGTGTACATAATACCACCGACCCACCGCTGTGTTGGTATACCAAGTACGAGCACATAGCTGAGTTTGCAAGCTACAGTGTACGTACACCGCGTCGCACCTTGCCCAACAACCCAGCATACATACATATACCATACACACATATAGCGGTTGTTATATACGCCTCGCCCACTGCGCCGCACCGTCTTTACGCTCCGACGCTTGGCTCGAGCTGCAGCGCGACTGTTGCTAGGTCATTTATTATGCGCTGTACCATGAATTTGCTGTTGGTATTTGAGGCGCCTCCGACTGCTCGCCGTTACAAGCTCTTGATAGTTGTTGTTGTTTTTAGTTTTTGTTGTATTGGTGCTACACCGAGAAGTTATCGCCAGCAATTCGGGAGTGGCTGGGACACGGCTGACGTTGGCTGTAGGTATGCATATGGGAAGGGGAAGTAGGTGCCGGGGTAGTGGCGCTGCAGCCAAAAGCGCATTTAGTGCAATCTTACATACTAACACGTCTGTATGTATTGCTATGTATTTATGTATGTGTGTATAAAAGTGCACTTGATGCCACTTTGGCCTGCAAGAGATGCCAGCGCGGCAAGAACGATTGCTGGCTACGACAGAACGCGACCGAAAGTACATAAAGATACGTACATATATAAATATGGTATATATTCCTATATGTATAAGTATTTAGCTTGTATATAAGAGGCCAGCAATGGGTGTTCGTTGAGCGCCAAACACACAACTTGTGCTTGATGGCCTGGATGGAAGCTCCATAAACGCCATGCCGTTGTCGCTAACCAGTGGAGAGCAACTTTACATGGGTTAGGGGTCAAAAGTCATACTCCCTGGGGTTGCTGTCATAGGTACGAATGTGACCATGACGCTGTTGGTGCCAATCTGCTTTTGTTGCTAGCTTTGCTACTGTTGCTTTTGTTGCTGCAAGATCCGCAGGTCAGCTTAACATAACGGCAACCAGCAAACGACACACCAACAATGACTGGCAAGCAAAGCCGCAAATGCAGAACGACACAAACAATAACCAATTAGCAAAAATCTGTAGGGAGCGTTTATTTGCCAAGGAGGCTGACGACTGCGCACGTAAGCCTTGCGCTAACACCCACTTCAACAGCGCATCAAGTGACGCCGCCAGTTCCAACGCTGTGGGCGCCAGCATGCAAACGCTTGGATGCCTGGTTTTAATCTAATTCCAATTGATTGATTTTCTAAACTTTGCAGGCGCAGCAACAGGGCAGCCAAATCCCGGTTACGGCCACCCGAAAATATGACATCACTCCATCAAACCGCATGCCGCATGCACGAAATGTGGAACATCATTTTGTGGGCTGCCGGTGATGGGCCGATGTTGGACTGCTGTAGCTGAGCGGCGGGCCGAGCGTGTGAGTGAGTGCTAGGCTCGGTGCACTCGGTCTTATTTCTATGGGCACGACGAGTATGTGCTCGTACCAAACAATACTACACACATACATACATATATAATGCAATAAAACATAGTGCGCATATGGCAAATACCGCTATGTGTATACTCGTATGTGCTGCGTTGCATATCGTAGGTAATCTTCTATATGCAAACAAACACATACAACACATACATACATAAGTATTTATACTTGTGTAAACTTTCCTAAGCACATAAACTATAGTAGTGTGTGTGTGGCAGTTTGTATAGATTGGTAATGTCGTTATATTGTGCTCGTATAGTTCCGGCCACGCATCATATTCATTTATGGGATATGTGTACACTCTGCTTATATATTGCAATACATAACAAATTCAATAAGTGCTTACGAATACAAAAATACATATGTACATGTGTATATGTATGTATGTACATATAGACCCTACTAGTGTGTTTTCCTGTTCATAATAGCGCTTTGGGGAGCTTGTAACAAGATTTAAATTTAAAGCGAAGGGAACGGCACGGGGCATGTGTATTTAATTTGTAGAAGGGTGTCTCAAAATGCTTGCTGTATTGCTCTTCTATTATGTACATAAGTATATAATATTGGATGAATTTTTCGTAGAAACATTCGCAACAGCTTATAATTCTCATTCAGTTTATTCAATTACCTTTAGGTATAGCTTCTTACCACTAGAAACTATAAAAGCCGTTCACACAAGATTGGGGCCAATCACTGTTGACTCGACAGCATTTCTCCAAATTACTTCAAGTATATTTTCTGCCGCTACAACATTATAAAAGACTCTTTATAAAGCGGTCTAATGCTGACCGGAATGTCTGCTTTGACAACGAGGACTGTTTGAAGCACCTCGAAGTAGCGAATGGCCAAAATCTATATTTGCCAATACTTTGTTGGTGTCTAACATATATTTTACTAACCATTTTGACGCCTTGGACAGCGTCCAAAGCCCCATTTGGCCACAAAGGCTGTAAAGTTAGTCAGCGCAAAGTAAAGCAAACAAATATTGCGGTGTCTTGAGGTAGAGTAGCTGAGTTGTTGCATAAAAAACTGTTTTACCCTATGGGCTTTGGTGAGTCGTTAATCTCATGGATTAAACTCGCTCATCTGTTTCCTTTCTGCTGTTGAATGTTGTTGTTGTAGCGGCAGAAAACATCCCTGCAGTAATTTGCAGTTTACAGATCTTGGCCGGTTAAAAATACGGATCCTTTGAGATTACAGAGACTCGACTGTCGTGTGAACGGTCTGCTGTTGGTCGCTGCACTTGGTTATATTATGGAAGCCCTTTGTAAACATTTTACACCAGCCCAAAATAATTTGAAATGCAATGACGGAAGTGAAAAATTAACAAAGTTTTTCTTTCATCGGCTATCAGCTATTAGGTAAAGCTTCTCAGCATTCTATTTTCTAAATAATAATTTTGAAACAAAGCCAACCTTAAATATTGGTTATAAAATTGTTTTAACTCTATATTTACAGGTGTATGCTGACGAATTTTCAGACATAGGTACATATTATATATACCTACAGTCGTATGTATGCATGTATGTATGTACATATGTCCAAACTCAATGCGGGATGTTAGTTACGTAAGTATATAGTTAGAATTCTGCGTAAATTCGAACTAACGCCTACCAACAGCCGTTCTAAAACCAGCGTCAACTTCAATAAATACATACATACATACATACACATTCACATATCAACTTAAATACAGCGCTCGCCATTTACGACTTTAAGAAAGTGGTTATTAATCAAGCGGCCCATAAAGAGCAACCTCCATCAGGTAACGAGCAGCCCACGTCGCGATGTCGTTTAATCAGCGAAGAAAGTTAATTTACTGCAGCCGCTGACAACAACTATTAAACCAAGAATAGTGGAAGTGTTTTAAAGTAAACTTTGAATACATACTTACATACATATTTACACATAATTCAAAAAGACTTGCAACAATTTCAGTATTTAATCAAGCCAATTCTTGTTGTAGCACGAAATCGAAGCGCAGCGCCTACGCTCGCCTCTGGCCACTAAGTAAATTAAAAACGGCAAAATTACGTTGCTGCCAACTGCGCTATGCACGCTATGCACGCAAAAGGGTATTAAGGACGGCAAGGGAAGCGCAGCTGAAACGTGTTACGTAAGCAAATACAGACAAGAAAACGAGAGACGAACAAAAAAACGACACGTCAAACTCAAAATGACGGAAGTGAAAAATAAACGTAATAAAAAGAAAAAAAATACGCTGGCACAAGCTGGTCTGCTGTTGCATTGGCGATGGCGAATTAAACGGGGCCTCTTAGCTGGTTTCACAAAGTGGTTGTTGCACTCGCCTGATTGTCTGCCGGCTGAAAGTCTGATGTGCGGGCTGTTTGTCGTTGTGTTGTTTGATTGAAAGTGTTGTAGTCTGTGCAGTGATGCAGAGGAAGGTGTATTACATGCATAGAATAAACGTTGGAACACAAAGAAACGAAAACAACCGGTTAAATACTACAAATAGAAATGTTCGCTGATGAGTTGTGGGTAAGTGTACCTACATATACATATGCATGTAAAAGTATGTATGTATGTAACATATAACTATGTAAGTATAAGCCCATTTCAAATCTCTGTAGAGAGGTATTCCTACATATTCATGGCGAATAAGCATAACATTATACTTGTGATATACATACATGCATACATATGTATGTTACATACAAATATACACAATTATATGTACATATGCATAAGTTATTAACATACCGAATGCTGCAAAAATAGTGAAAGCAGTTCCAATTGATTTGAAGTGAGAAATAGCTAGCAACTACAGTTTGCAATCTGCCGCTCACGACACCCTCTTACATAGGAATATATACACAAACATACCCTACAAGAAACTGCTGATGGGTTCACCAATACACTCACATTTATAATGTCAGTACTGACAGTCAAATGAAGAGTAAAATGACTGTCAATGTTTACGGTTTTTCCAAAAGCAAACTCTGTATACGTCGAAAAGAGACAGCATACATTTTCATAAATGTTTCGAGAAGTTGTAAAATACCTACATATGTATGTTGCTGTTATTCCATGCCACCAAAAACCAAAAGTGTTGCGTGCTCCTGTGCAATAACACTTTTTGTGTTAAAAAAATAAATAAGTAAGGTAGGAGTTTTCAAATATAATATATGTACGTAAGTTTTTATTAAGTTTCAAATAAAATTATATTTTTAGTTAATTTTAATTTTTTTAGGCATTTTTAAATTCCAAAATATTCCGAACTGGAAAAACACGTACAGCAGAGCTTTTGAGAGGAGAAAGCATGGAATTAAGTGACAATTTCATTTCATAATTTATTATTTAATTATATTTTTGTTGCAATCCTTAAATATATCAGCAAATATATAAATATATTTATATTATAACTCATTTTAATAAAAATTTTGAATTTATTAAAGAAATAAAAAATATATTATCTACTGCGCAAAAGAATTTATCACTTGTGATAGATTTACATGCATAACTGACAATTTTCAGCTTTGATGGATTTATGGTCTGCAATGACTCAGAAAAAGTCATGAGAGTGAGCAGTAAAGATATAAAGTGAATCAATTCCCAATACTCATGTGTTAAAGAGAGATGCAAACTCAAACACATGCGTTTTTTTACATCAATTTTTGCACAAGGCTCTTAAGAAAGTGATAGAAACTTTGTGCTGCGCGTTGACAAAATTTTTTCAGCTCTGACTGTCATATTAGCGGTCAGATGACTGTCACTATTCTTGTAGGGTAAGCATGTATGTATGTATGTATATGGTTATGACTAATGCAACTAATGTGTTCATAGAATATTATATAAGCAATATTTATCAGTTTTATTTCAAATATTAAGATTTTGAGCTTAAAGCCTCTCAGGTCTCAGAAAAAACAAAGTTGTTAGTTATATCAAGATTACAAAATATGACAACAAACGTCTTGGTGGTATGGTCCGAGTTTCTGTTTACAGTGGCCAACAGCATTTTTGTGTTATAAATGCCTTATTTTTGTTGCTTTTATACTGCAAAAAAAATAATAAGCATAAAAAAAATTCTGCATTTGCTTTTATGTATAAATATAGAAAAATTCTATTCAATAAAAATACACAAACATTTTACATACATATAAACAATTTATTAAGAGATACCAAGCATCCATTTAGGATTCATTCTTACAATAGACATTTAAAAAAAAAACTCTAAATGTTTAAAAATTAACAGTTTTACTTTTTCTGTCATGTTTCGTTGAAGTATTTTTTATTAAATCCCAAATATAGTCCGCAATACTGTATACTGGCCTTGATAACGACTTTCAAATTTCATTATATTTTAATGGCAGTGTTCTCTTTGTTCTGCGGACTAAGTTCCTATATTATCTATAAATTTATGTAAGTGGGAATGTAGCATGTGTTTTTAGAGACATTTTCCATCTGTTGTTGGAGCAATTCGTAATCATGTCAGTGATCAGCTCGTCATAATTGTCAGCTCTATGGTTTCCAAGAAAACCATGCACGACTGCCTTAAAACTGTACCAGGCTTTTTTCTCCTCATTGCTGAGTAATTTCGGGAAAGTATCACTATACGTAATTTTTTTATCTGAGAGCCTAAAAAGATGCCAGCTTTTATTTTCGCCTCTGCAAGCTTTGGATTTTTTTTTGATATATTTGAAAGATGATCACCTGGTACACTCCAAACTCTCCGCACTGCAAACTTCAGTGCTATTTTTTTTAGCTGGGTACCAGCCCACAATTTAACGTAACATAATATTATAACCTAACTAATTTTCTGAAAATAGTTAATAATTATTATAAAAAAAGATGAAATAAACTCAGCATGCAGAGTACCATATATCCGCAAGAGTTACATGACATAAGTATGTGGAGTTCATTTTTTGTTATGATTTTTAACAAGTGGATTGAAAACAAAAAAAAAATTGTTGACCTGTGTTCTTAGTCAAATTCGAAAAATTCTTCGAATATAGAATTATATATATTATAAAGATATTAAAATTTGTTTTTGTACCTCTAACTGAATTTACTGCTGCGCAAAGTTAAAAAAAATACTCTCTCTAAATCAGTGATATAACGATTTCTAGTTTACAAACCACCTACGTCATTAATCCTCACTCAAGTTGTATTTATGGTATGTATTTCGATTCTGGGTTAATTTTCTAAAAAATGCTAAAATAATAAACCCGAATACGGCTGGTGGTTTTATTTCATATAGTAGATATATGTACTACATATGTACATACTTTTTTGCAAATTTATTATTATTCCAAGTATTTGAAAACTTTCCTCTCATTAACCACTCATTATCGCTTATCACTTTAGTGATAATCTAGGTATTTCATTCATTCATTCATTTCTATTCAAACAGCGTGTAGTCAAAACCATAATTTATATTCTCACTTTACTTAGCACTTAAATTAAACTTGGAATTGAAGGCGCTTTAAATTTGAAATCGTTTCTTTCCTCACATACAAAAAAGTTGCTTTGAACTCAGTTGGCATTATATTTAATTTAAAAAATTTAAATTGAAAAACCTACAAACACATGCATTTAACCCAATGGTTATACAGTCTAAAAATAAGCTATAAAAAAAGCGACTAGTTTTTTTTAGCACATGCAGCGCTAAATGCTAGATAAGCAGCATATCAGCGCTATTAAATAATAAAGGGTGGTTCAAATACAAACTGTTTAGTGTAAGCACTCGCTGCGAAAAAAAGATTTCATATTTTTTCCGTTAGAAAAGTCGAAAGCGAAGAGGTTTTGCTCTTTTAGCTGAGGGCGAATCAAACAGATTATTATGATTCATACAAATTCATTATGATTTAAGCAATTACAGATTTATTAGCTACATATGTATGTACATATATACTGGGTTCCAGGCCAAAAAGCCATCTCGGGAAACGAAATAGCTAATGAGATTGCCTAAAATGGAAAACGTATGGCTACCGAACCAGTACAGCAAATATGTAAGTCGCTAAAAACAATACATAATGAAATTTCTAAAAAGGCTGACAGACGGATCAAGGGGAAATGGAATGCCTTAAGCAGATGCAGAATCGCCAAGATCATATGCAAAAGGGCCCTGAAGAAAAATATTTATGCTTTTTTACTCACACGTTCACAAAAAGACTACAGGACGGTAGTGGACCCAATAACAGGTCACAACTTAGTGGCATTAAATGCGAGCCGGAGCTGGATACATGCAAAAAGCGGAAGGGTACAACTCATCTGCTTCTGTACAGCGTTATTAAGAACTCGACTTAGATATCTACTAGGTATGCGCTTCAAGCGACTAGCTGAAGTATGAAAATTAGTTAACAAATCTCTCTGAAAGTTCGCAAAAAACTTTGACGTTCTATATGACAAATACACCCTCTAGTATTAAACAGAACCTCCATCTGGCGTTACTAAGGACCGGTATGTCTATGTATGGCATAAGCTAATCTAATTACAGAGGTGATACTAAAGAGGTTAAATTTTTTATTATTATTATTTTTTTTTTAAAAAGTAGTCACTATTGAACCACCCTATGCATATTTTTACTTTTTGTTATACTTAGTATATACACATACCATATGTACATATTTTTATTGCGTAAGCTGTATTGCAATTAAACGATAACGTTGAGCATTGTTTTGATAATTCATATCATTTAATCGTTTACCCCATATACCATAACTACATATGTATACATTTCTATATGTACAATACATGTGTATGCATGTGTAAGATGTGCTATATTATAATATGCATACTTATACTTAGCTTATGTGCATGTGTTTGTTTTTAAACTATTTATACAATTACAAAATTGAAATATTTAATCAAGTGATAAAGCGCTTCAGGTGCAATGCTGGCTGGCGTATGCGGAAATCTAAGCACATACATATATACATATACATACATACACTTGTGCATACTTTACAATTAATTCATATGAAATGCGCAGCGCAGAAATTTGTTTGCCCACAATTTTTTAATATAGAATACTTTGGTGGCATTATCTCCTTAAAATAAGCACAATTGTCTGCAGCAGTGGGGGGGAGTAGAAAAATTAGCGCCATCTGAAGAAATAATAGCTCTTACACTCGTATATATACATATACTTATGATATCTGTATGCAAAGCTTAATATAATATTTCAATAGATTTTTGCATAATTTTAGAAATATTGTGATTTTTAATTTATATTTTTGTGAAACAAATTATTTTATTTTCAATTGCCGCTTGTTCTCGCAACTTCATTGACCACCTCCACGCACAGGAATGTCTACATAACAGACACATACACACACATAAAAATACATATAGTCACTTTGTATGTTTGTAAGCATGTAATACTGCGCGCTGCATTAATTACACGCCGGAAGTTGTTTATTTTCTTTGTTTTCCTACTTTGTTGTTGCTGCTGCTAAAATTTAATTTTTTATGCTTTTTCTTGTTTCAATTTCTATTGTGCAAATTGATTATAAATATTCCTTTATTTTCCTAAATTTTTGTTGTTGTGTAAGTTTTTGCTTTTGCATTTGTAATTTTAGAGGTCAGCAATGTCGACGAATTGTTGCTACTTTTGTTTTTTTGCTATATTTTTGCTTCGCTGTCTCTACTGCAATACATTGTGTTTAATTGGTTGTTGTTGTTTTTCAGTTTCGTACCCACTGTTCGTTGTTGTTTTTCGTTTTTTGCTTTGTCGTCATTTGCTTTAATTTTTGCTTATAAATTTGTTAATATGTGTGCATTTATTATTTGAATGCAACTTTGTGTTTTGCTGTTGTGAATAGCGGCGTTGCTAAAATAACAACAACAACGATATCAGCTGCTGCGCTTCGCTTTGCGACACTTTACTTCGTTTTGACGATTTTACACGCGCTAATGATAAAAACAAACACACATATGTATGTATGTATGTGTTTTTTTTTTTCTTATTTTGCATTACACATGCCTGTTAGTATGTACATACATATGTGTGTATATTTAAATATGTGCATACCTAAGCAAAGAGCCGCTGACTTTTACCCTTTTTTGTGTTTTAAATACAAATATGCGTATGCATATGTATGTATATGTGCGTGTTTTTAATTCATAAAATTATATACTTATATATGCATGTAGGTGTATAGTAGCCTGACTAGCATATATATACATACGCGTATATGCACATATGCATACATATCTAATATACTACACTTTAAGTAAATTCACCTGTAATTAATCTTATCGCACCTCTCTATCTCTTAGACACTTAGGGGGCTTAAGACAAACACACGTATGTATGTCTGTACAATATGTAAGTAGGTTTGTTTGCATATACATACATACATATGTATGTTTGCATACTATGCTTGAATCAATCAAGGTTATATAAATGTCGACCTTGTCCATTTTGAATGCTTTTACTGCGAATTGCTATTTTTGCTCTTACTGTGTGTCGTGGTTGCTGCTTTGATTTGTGCTGCTGCTGATTTTTTTAATCTAAAAACAGGGCCTCGCATAGCAATATGTACATAAAATAGAGACATATGTACATGAAATAGAAACTATGCGAAACAGTTCAACATAAGCTTTAGGTTTTTCAAAACATAAAACTTAAGCTATTGAGATGTTGCATTAAGTCGAAAAAGCTGCGGATAAAATGTGATTTCTCTGAGAATTTAAGAAAACAGCAGATGGGAATAATCATACTTTTAAATTATCTGTTATTATTTTTAATTTAAATTTTATATTAAAAGCTAATTTCCTAAAGCCAATTTATACAAACTTTGCTTCAAACTAATTTTCCCGCATACTAGCGAAAGTTCATCATCAGCTATTATCATCTAAAGAACGCATTTCATCTGACCTGCTTTAAGGAGCAATGCATGGATTCTTATTAGATTACATACTTAGTACGTATCGACATGGTGAAATTCGTTCAACACATGAGCTTTACAAAACGGTTGCGCATTTTGACATTTCTCAAATTCACCACTGCCTGAACACACTCTCTACACGATATGCAACTCTGAAGTAAGTCCAACCAGCAACTCGCTTCGTCTCCTTCTCGCACACTAATCCAGCCTGTTAATAATAATAAAAAATTGGTTGGAATATTGCACATACAGTTCAAAAGAAACGGGTTGGCAGCCCTGTGCAATGCACTTGTGTCATCCTCTTTTAACTTGCAAAGAATGATCTGAAACTAATTTGAAAAGTCAGACATAAAGTAGTGTGACCGATTTTCTCATTTGCCATTTAGTGTGCGTGTGTGTATTTGTGTACTGACATTTTCATTTCGTTGCTGCGTTTTAAACTGATTGCAGTAATAAAGTGTGAAGATTTAGTAAATTAATAAATTTGTTTCAGAAAATTAATTGTGGAAAAGCATAAAAGTTAGTATATATAGAGGTTATCTAGTGGACGGTGCTTTAAAAATTAATTAATTTGATTGTAAGCTTCGTGAATTAGCTCCCAAAGACGTGTAAATGTGTCATATTAGGTGTGCGTAAAAAAATTGTGTAGCATATTATTAATGTATGAACATATTGTACATAATTCTGATTTTATGCATAATTGCATTGAAAAGAAAGATGTGTAGTTATTTTTGTTGCGCATATAAGTTAAAGCCTCATATTAATCTTATTTACAGTAGCCATAGTCGCAGCGCTGACGTATATGCTTATGTTTGGTAGGTTTTATTTCGAGGCAATTGTAACAGAAAGAAAAAATACCATCTAGATTGTAGTGCAATGGTGCCAGCATTAACAGAAGAAGTAAGGAAACAAACAGTGCGAAAACAGAATTCCCGTAAGCAGCGGACAAAGAAATTATACGAAGTTTAATGCGAGCGCAATGGTGCAATGTGCCGTCGTTCGTTCGGTTGCAAATTGTAGAAAATTCCTAATTACGTTTTTGTAATTAATGTTTGAGTGTGTGCGTCTAAATATGATTAAAAACAAAGGCAATTACTCATTTTGTACAGTGATGTGCGCAGTCATAATTCGTAGTTTATCAAATCAGTCGTGTGATAAGGTCGAAGATCAACAAAAGTAAATAAATGCGGTCAAAAAAGTTTAATGACACCAAAATAAAGTAAATATCAGCATCTACGAACCTACAAAGAAAAAAAAAACAAATGTGTTAAATTTGACAACCATTCGCATATAATATATACTTACATATGGTCAAATAAGATTTTCCATTGACTTGCCAGACTATTACAATTTAAAATATTTTATTTATATTTCTGTGTTTGCTGGCATCTCTGTGCAACTATACATATGGCAACAGTTTGCAATTTGACATTCAGTATTTTCCTAAAAAGTAGCTGCATTCTTCTAACCAGCGAACTATTGACCAAGCAAAAGGGAAATAAATAGCTTGTTTTTGTAGACGTTCGCTTGCTGTTATCTCTGTTTATTTGCTGTATATTTTGTTTTCATTTTCCTTAGGTTTTACGTTGATTGCCTTTGTGCTGGTCATAAAATTATTCACTGAATTCATGGTCGGTTCGCGAACGATACAAATAAAATTTGTTTTTTTTTTTTTTTTGGTAGTGTGCATAACCAGCATATATAATTGAAAAATAGTACTTTTTATTATTGCAAGGTGGTGTATTTTAAGTGTTTTTGCAATTTGTTGCAATATGTGAAAGCTTTTTATCTGTGTTTTGTGCGTTGTGATAAATTCGACAAAATAATAGATTAGTATAAAGAATTCAAACGAATGAAGTACTCATATAAAAAAATTAATAGAAAACAACAACACTTACACACAGTAGCCTTGAACTTTTTTCCCTTCACATCAATTTTTGTCTTGTCTTTGCTCTGCTTCTTTTTCTAATTTTTTGATTATCTCAAAGAATTGGGAAAAAATTTTTTGTGTGCACAAAATTTTGAAATCATTTTGATTTAGATTTTTTCTCATTTTCCCCTAACTAGAACGTAAATTTTTGCTTATAAAGAGGAGCGATATACAGAGAAGGCGTGTGCATTGAAAGTTGTCTCAACTATAGTAAGGAAGTATTCCAATTGTGGCTCGCAGCAAAGAAGCAAAGCAGACGCCAAAAAACTTGGAAAAAGTCGCTCGACAACTACAATTAACTCGACCGCAAAATAAAGCAATCATTGCAATAGTGACATCCGCGCTGCAAATTGCAACTTTGTGGCTGGTGTGCTTGTCGCGTTCGTTGCCAAAGCTATAAACAGGAGACAAAGTTGATTAGCTACCGACATTGTTTTCAATTCTGCTGCCCCCTTTAGCTAAAACGCCGCGAAGTTTGTGCGTGTATGTGTCACTCAACGCCACATATCAAAATATAAAGCAGCGTGTGGGTGATTTGGGGAGGTAGGCATAGCACGGAGCACATACTATTACAAGTTGTATGCTGCGCGGAACCAGCGAAGGTGCTAAAAGTGACGTATATATACGCCATTAACATATTGGTTGCTAGAAACGGTTGAAGGGCAGTGCAAAAGTGGAATAAGTAAACTTTGATTAGTCACCAAGCAACCCACGGAAATATACAAATAAGCATATATTTGTATTCTGTGTATATGAGTTGCATTGAAAAGGCTTGACTATTTGAACAACACTATTTGCAGGCTTAACTCTTGTTTGCAGCTAAACCAAACACAACAGATAATTAGCTGTTTGCGGTGCACTTAAAACTTCCAACTGTTAAGATAGACAACCAAGCTGTGCCTAATTGCTGCTGAAGCATCAGTAAAAAAAAGAAAATCAAAAAACAATAAATAACTCGGCATAAAAAGAATACTGCTAAAACAGTAATATGGAGTCGGATGAGGATTCTTATGAGATGGAGAATGTTGATTCCGGCAATGTATCGTCAGGCGATGAGGGCGATGAAGATTTCGGTATGGAAGTCGATATACCCTCCTCACATGATCGCCAAATGGAAACCGAGGAGTATCAATATGAAGTGCTCTCCACAGATGAAATAGTACTGCATCAGCGTGAAATAATCGATGAAGTCAACAATGTGCTCAAGGTAATAGCTTAAATATGCATTTTGTATGTGTATTAATTAATAAAGAGGGGCATATAAATCACTTGACTTAAACGTCATATAAAAAGCTGTGCTTGTGAAGTTCAAGTTGTTAATGTTTGTTTATCGCGAAAATATCAGCTGTTTTTGAAAGACTGCCTTTTTACAGTTAAATATACAATTTTATAATAGCTTTTTAAGTTTTAAACCTACGCTATAAAAGAAAGTTAGGTGTTCTTTTAACCCTTGTATTCGCTGCAAATTGGTTTTAACTGATATATTTGACGGAAAAAATTATGTGCAAAAATTCACATATCTAATAAAAATAATATTGTTAGTCTATACCCATGCTACAGATTTTTAATCCCTGCCATCAGTATTTACGAAATCTAACAATGATCTGCAGCAGCTGCTAACCCTAACACCCTTACCTTACAAAAACTTCAACGCTGCTGCATATTTACGACCTTCACGCTGAAGGTTGCCAATTACAATGTGCTTTAGTGCCATGATGATATAACAATCGCTTTCGCTTTTGAATCCTAGTCTCTGAACACACACTTCCGAAAAACAGATGCATTTGAATAACATACCTTAATATGCAAACATATATATGCATGTGCAGGTATATGTCCCGTTTCCATTGTCCTCCCACACGAGCGCACATTTTTTACTTACAACAAGTTGTAGGGGTGAATTGAAAAAAGAGATTATTGTGTCAGCCAAGTGCAGTTACGAAATGTATAACAGCACACTCACACACAAAGCCTTTCTGCTGACCTATTTAACAAAAATTTGTATATACATATGTATGTATAAGCGCATTCTTAATGCTAACAAGCTAAAAAACGAATATATTGCAACTGCAATCTTTTGTTGTCAACACGCGATGTTGAAAAATTCCATTGCATTAATATACATATTCTTTTTACTTTCATTCGCAATATTTTACTGATAAGTTGCAAACTTGTTTTTGCCCTGCCCCTCAACGACGGTTTTGTTTGTTTACAAACAATATTTTTTGCAAATCTGTTGAGAGTTATTGTGCATATGCGAGTCAATATGTACGTATGTACGTCAATTTACAAATGCTGTTGCATAGATTTTTGCAATGACAAGCATATTTCTATTTTCGTGTTGGTAAAGCGGAACAGCTGTTGGTTCGGCTCTTGTCTATAAATAGTTGTTTTGACGTCAATTTAGCCCTTTTTACACGAAATACTGCATGCATTTTTATTTGCATAACGTGACATTGAAAATTGATAGCCAAATAGTCGATTGAGTAGGGGAATCTGGTTGCAGCTAGACATTCTGCACTCAAATTTATTTACACTAAAAAAAGCTCAAAGAAAATTATGCGTAAAATAGACAACTAAACTATTAATAAAGCCGGTAATTCGTTGCATATATATTTTCTTAAAATTTCTTTTAATTTTCTGCTCATGTGCCATCTTTCCAGCTGCCGCCCACAATAATCCGCATACTGCTGAATCACTATAAATGGGATAAGGAAAAGCTGCTAGAGAAATATTTTGATGGCAACATAGAGGAATTCTTCAAGGGCGCACATGTCATCAATCCATTCAACAAATCTACCAATCCAAGTCGTCTTAAGGTTCGTATTTATTGAGCACGTTTACGCCATGTATGTGTAGCATATTAATATCCTTTCTGCACTTCATGCACACAGTTGTCCAAAAATCCAGTGGAGGAATGCGAAATTTGTTTCTCATTGCTGTCACCCGATGTAAGTGAAACACAGTTTCTTGCCGTAAAATTCTATTACCATATAGTTTCGCTTATCCATTATGCACTTTGCAGGGCATGACTGGTCTGGAGTGTGGCCATCGCTTTTGCTTGGTCTGTTGGCGTGAGTATTTAACCACAAAGATCGTCACCGAAGGTCTCGGTCAATCCATCTCGTGCGCCGCACATGGCTGTGATATTTTAGTCGACGACGTTACCGTCACCAAACTAGTGGATCCGCGTGTCAAAGTGAAATACCAACAATTGATCACAAACAGTTTTGTCGAATGTAATCAGCTATTACGCTGGTGTCCGTCCGTCGACTGTACGAATGCAATTAAAGTGTCGTATGGTGATGCACGCCCCGTGAGTTGCAAATGTGGGCATGTATTTTGCTTTGCCTGCGGTGAAAATTGGCATGATCCCGTCAAATGTTGTTGGCTGAAAAAGTGGATTAAGAAGTGCGACGACGATTCGGAGACATCCAATTGGATAGCGGCTAACACCAAAGAGTGTCCAAAGTGTAATGTGACGATCGAAAAGGATGGCGGCTGCAATCATATGGTGTGCAAAAATCAAAATTGTAAACACGATTTTTGTTGGGTGTGTTTGGGTTCATGGGAGCCGCACGGTTCATCGTGGTATAACTGCAATCGCTACGATGAGGACGAGGCGAAGGCGGCGCGTGATGCACAGGAGAAGTTGCGCTCCTCATTGGCAAGGTGCGTGTTTAGCAAATTTGCATTTAAATTTTTTTTAATAATAAACAACTTTAAATTGCTGCTCCATTAAGGTATTTGCATTACTACAATCGTTATATGAATCACATGCAGTCGTTGAAATTTGAGAACAAACTTTATGCGGCTGTCAAACATAAAATGGAGGAGATGCAACAACACAATATGTCCTGGATTGAAGTGTGTAGCCATGCTTATTTACTAAGAAAATGTTAAGTATACATTTGATAATTTTTTTTTTGTATTACTTAGGTGCAATTCTTGAAAAAGGCCGTAGATATACTCTGCCAGTGCCGTCAAACACTCATGTACACATACGTGTTTGCCTACTATCTGAAGAAGAACAATCAGTCAATGATCTTTGAGGATAATCAAAAGGATTTGGAATCAGCAACTGAGAAACTGTCTGAGTACTTGGAACGTGATATAACTTCAGAGAATTTGGCTGATATTAAACAAAAAGTGCAGGATAAATATAGGTGAGTGAAATACACCCTAAAACTAGTTTACAATGGAATAGTTTTTGGGTTATTCTTAAAAATTTTTTTATTTGCGGATTTATTTTTGGTTTTTTATCGCTTTTAAATAGGAATTTTGAATATATTTTAAACATATACTTATTAATATAAATTTTTATAATTCAAATTTGTATTTTTTTTAAATTTTTTACTTCTATTATTTTCAGTACACACATATTTCTTTTTGTAAAAATTTAATACATTTTTTAATATTAATTTAAAAATACTTGTAAATATATTTTCTATATTTTATTATCATAATTTTTGATCCTTATGACTTATTAATTATTTGTTGCTTAAGTGTTCTTTGTAATAATTTTTTTTTTTATTAAAAAGTTTTTATGCGTAGAGACACGGTTGCAAATAATGTATTAGAAAATAATTGAATTAACATTTGATATAAAATTTATTATTAAAATTATATTAAAAAAAAAAATGTTTATTTTAAGAAATGTTTTTTTATTATTATATATATTTTTAAATAATTAATATATAATTTTTTGTATGTTATATTTTATGTTTCTGTTTATTTTTTATACTTTTTCATATTGTTTTACTTTGTATGTTTTTATTTTGACATTTTTTTAGTCTCTTTTGTTGTTTGTTTAAATTGTATTTGTATTTATTTTTTTTGCTTTTTAAGTTTTTTAAATTTATTTTATTTATTAAATTTTTTTATTTTTTTAAATTTTAATTTTTCTTATTTATATATATATTTTTAAATTGTTTATATTTAATTTTTTTCTACTTTTTCATAATTTTTTACTTTATAAATTTTTTATTTATATTTTAATATTTTTTTAATTAATTAATTTTTTAATTTGTTTTTTGATAATGTATTTTTTTTTTATTTTTTGAATTAATTTATTTTTTAAATTTGTTTTTTAGTTTATTTTTTACTGTTTTTAGTTTTTAAATGTTTAATATATTTTTATTTTGTTTTTTATTAATTATTAAATTTTTAAAAAATTTATATATATACTTTTTTTATGTTATATTTTATGTTTTTGTTTACATTTATGTATATTTAATTCTTTTCTACCCTTTTTATTTTATATATTTTTTATTTTAAATGTTTTTAGAAAATTCATTTTTTTTCAATATATTTTTACATGTTTTTTTTTATATTTTGAGATTTTTTTATTTATTTTTTGAATTAATTTATTTTTAAAATTTTTTTTAATTTGTGTTTTTATTTTTAACTTTTTTTATATTTTTAATTTTTTAAATTTATTTTTTATAGTTTTTAGTTTTTAAATGTTTTATATATTTATATTTATTATTTTTTATTAATTATTAAATAGTTTTGTATTTCAAAAATTTTTTATTTATAATTTTTTGTATGTTATATTTTATGTTGTGGTATACATTTATCTATGTATATCTCATTTTTTTTCTACGTTATATATTTTTTATTTTATTTATATTTTTACTTCGAAAATTCTCTTTTCAAAATGTATTAAAAATTTCGTCTCCCATCAGGTATTGCGAGAAGCGTCGCAAGGTGCTGCTGGATCATGTGCATGAAGGCTACGAGAAGGACTGGTGGGAGTATACAGAATGACGCGAATCCTGGATGGATGATTAAAAAGCACCAACAAAAACATAATTTTCATTGAATAAACAATAGAGCAGAGCCGAGCAGAGAACGGGCGGAAGCAGCAGTCTGAGAACAGTTATAATGATGCCACTAGTGTTTATCGAATGAAAATGCATGAAAAAAACATTAAAAAAACGAAACTGAAAATAAGAAAAGCGCAACTCGCACAGAGCTGTAGCAGGCATGTGGCAATAAAATGGGGCCGGAGTGGTGGATGCAACGCGTACATTATTAGCCAATGCTATATAAATATATATATATATGTGTGTGTGTGTTTGTTTGACGTTTGTATGTGTGTGTAGCGCATAGCGTTCACGGCGCGAAAATCAACAAAACACCAACAACAACAACCAACAATGCGACAGGCGAATAATGGAAATAATACTGCTTAACAAGACTTAAGTTGCAAATTTATTATGAAATTGTAATAAGTAAATTACGCAAAAAACAGGAAATTTCTCAAAAAAGTAGAAAAAAATGAAAATATGCAAATCCAACAAATACTAGCAATACAAAAACACTAAAACCAATACGTTACTTATGTATATAACTGTATGTACATATAAAGAACTAGCACCAATTAGGCAGGCAGGCAGGCAGGCATCAGTTGCAGCGCGGGCGGCGCATGTTGCCACCGCATTGGTAATTTGCAGTGAAAGTAACACAAATGTTTAGTCGACAACGAGGAAAGGTTGCACTGTCATTTGCCAAAGCCACCAGCGCACAGACACATACAAACACAATCATACGATTTACACGCAACACCACTACTCCGCACCGCGAGCCGACAACAACCAGCCGCTAACTGCAAATACTCGCATGCATGCTTTGGTTGACTTCTTGCTTAAAAGCATTTGTTGTTATTGTTTTTTGTTTTGTTTTTGGTTTGGCGTGCTTGCTGTTTTCAACAGATTTCTACTTGAAATAGGTCTTATTAAGCAAATTAGCGTTAGAGTGGCGTTTTAAAGCAACAACAGTTTATTCTACACAACAACAACTACACAAAATGTATATGCTAGAGCATAGTATGTAGTTAGCGTTAGCAATGCGAATTCGAAAATTCGGCGAATATGTAGACTTTCATTTTAGTGCGCATGGCAAGCAGTAAACAAACATTTCAAGAGATTTCGAAAAACCAGCAAAAAGTTACGAAAGTTTGTGTGTTTTGAGTGCAAGCGCTCGGTGGCAAGCGTTCGTATCAGAGTTGCCCACGCGGCTGGCTGATTTAGCATAGTATGCAAGATTTTGTTATGTAAAATTAATGTTTAGTAGTTGGAAGCAAACAAATTTGTAATTGTTTTGTGTTCTTATTAATATTAATATTATTATTTTTTAATTTAAATTTAAATGAAGCTGAACGCAAAAGAAATGTTAAGTTTTTCTCATATGATTGTCATTATTTTTATGTTGATACTTATTTTGTAGTGTATAAAATCGCAATTTTATTCAAAACCGTCACACAACATTCACTCAATGCAAAATGCACACAGCAACAACAACAACAACATGAAAAACAATACAAATTTACTATGCAAATTTTAGACGCTCATTTAGCAGCAGCAACAACAGGAAAAACCAAAAAGAAAAGTAAACAGAAGCATTTTTGAAAAAAACTTTTGGAAATTTCTATTTTTCAAATTCAAAAAAAATAAAATTGTAACTAAATATTAGCGGTGTCAGGAGCGCAATATTGGCAGCAAGGCAGTAGCTGAAATTAAGTGAAATTTAATTTTGAAAAAAAAATGCTAAAACAAAATATGTAAAATCAAACAGAGTCCACAAGTAAAAGAAAAATATATATACATAACATTAGCAGTTATTCAAACTTGTTTAAAAGCTAAACAACAAAACATTACTGTGCATAACAAATGCAAGGCAATGTTGATAAAAATATTTTAGCAAGCGAAAAAAAACAACAACAAAATAAAACAAAACAAATTATAGTTATATAATAATAAATAGTTATATAAAACTGCAAAACTATATATATAAAAAAGCATGCATACACATATAAATAGCTAACACCAACACAAACAAATATTTAAAAACAAAAAATTTAAATAAAATAAAATAAAAAAGCTACCGGCAAAAATTCAAAGCAAACGAAGCAACTGGTTATAATATTGTCATCAAATTAAAAAGAAAATGCAGGCAGTGCAACTAAATTACCAAAAAAAAAAATATTAAAACACAAACCTGGCAATTTTCCAAATTTTATTTAAACTCTAAGTCGTCAATGCTTAGCTGCGCTACTTAATTTCGAACGTTTCTGCAGCATTTCATATTAAAGAAACCCATTTTTTTGTTCAAAATGCGTTTCTCAGATTTTTACAAAATTTAAATTAAGTTAAGCCTTGCCTTTACAGCGCTTATTTTGCCTACAGTTAGAAACGAAAAAATTGAATTAAAAATGAGCTAAAAAATTCGAAATAAAAAATTATTAAATTTTGAAGTAGACGTTTACAAAAAAAATTTTAATAAAAAAAAATAATAATTTTTAGAAACGAAAAAATTAAATAAAAAATTACCTAAAAAAAATTCTAAAACAAATTATTAAATTTTTAAGTTAACGTTAATAAAAATAAAAAATTTTATTTCTAAAAAATTAAAAAATTTGAACAAAAATTGTTTAAAAAAATTCTAAATAAAAAATTATCAAATTTTTAAGTAAACGTTTATAAAAAAAAATTTAAATAAAAAATTATATTTTTTGCGTTTCTGAATGCAATTTAAATATTTTTGTATGTGTTGGCTGTTCTGTTGTACGTTTTAAGCGCCTGCTTGCTCACTTAACTTTAAGGCGTCAGCTCCATCCAGTAATCCAGCGCTATTAAAGACATGTAGTTAAAGTGTTTGCAAATGCAACTATTGTTTAAAATATCATAAAAAATTATGTTTAAAATAAACACAGACTTTGTATGTGTTGTGTTACAACAACATTGCGCCCATTTAGCCATCGCCCTTAGCTTATAGACGACCAAATTAGAATGCACCACAAATCATGCTAGTTAAACCCCATTATTTTCAGTGTATTACATACATACATATAATGCGTAAACAAAGAGGAAATCATGAAAAACTAATAATACAATAGTAAATAAAAAACATTTGAATTTGCAAAATTTAGAAAGAGCGTAAAATAAATTCAATATAAAGGTCTTCGATGCTTTAAACATTGTGTAAATAGTTATTAAAATTGATTAATTAAAGCAGCAAAAACATCAAAGCGAGTAAAGTCGAACAAAAACAAACAGACAAATAATAAAAAACTGCAAAAAAAATAATAAAATATATAAAAATAAACATAAACAAATGCATTTTTATTTTCACTGTTTATTTGGTGGCTGAGGTTGCTTAAAAGCAGAATTTTTACTATTATTTTACAATTTTAATTAATATTCTTTTTAAATAATTTTATTTGAATACTGCTTTCAAATTATTATTTTTAATTTCATGTTTGTTTTGTTTTTAAATTTTTTGTTTTAACTAATTTTGTATTCAAAAAATTTAATTAATTTTTTTTTGATTGTTTTTTTTTTGTGTATTTTAAATTATTATTTTTTATTATTATTATTTTTTTATTATTTTATTATTATTTTTTACTACTTTTTTAAAATAATTTTTAAAAATTTTTTTGTTTCTTTTTATTTTCTTATTTTTTTAAATAATTTTGTTTTTTGTTTTTTAATTATTTTTTCTTTTTTAATTATTTTTTATTTTTTAATATTTTTTAAATTATTTTTTTTATTATTTTTTATTTTATATTAAATTATTTTTTTTTATTATTAGTTTTTATTTTATTTTAAATTATTATTTTTTTATTATTATTTTTTATTTTATTTTAAATTATTTTTTTTTTAATTTTTTTTTTTTAAATTATTTTTTTTTTAAATTATTTTTTTACTATTTTTAAATTGTAAATGAACTCATTAACATTCGCTGTTTGCGATTTCTCTGTTCATTAACACTCTCTGTTATTAACATTATCTGATGCAAGTGCCGCATTTGCGTTGCATACCCAAAGGCGCACTGCAGGCGCTGGTTACTTGCTGGGCATTTATGCGCGCCTGGTGTTTTGGCAGGCGGTCGATGTCAACGAAAAAATTTAACTGGCACATGCATGTGTGTAAGCGACAAGGGGTGTGCATGTAATTTTAAGGAGTATTTATTATATTTTTAATACAGACGTAAAAAAATTAAGTTTAGACAATTTTTTTAAATTTAAAATATTTTTTTTTGAAAAAATAATTTTTTTTAATAATATAAATGGCGTAATTAAGGTTGCCAGGTTTTTAAAATAATAATATCAATTTCAATGTAGACTGTAAAAAATTAAGTTGCGGCATATTTTTTTGTAAACAATATTTTATGTTTTCGGAAGAGTTTTAAATATTTTTAATGCAATCAACTGGCAACCCTACTTAAAGCAATAATACATAAAAAAAAATAATATTTTAATGTAACATATGTACACTGCGAAAAAATTTGCAATGTGTGTTTTTGAAATTTTTTTACATATTTTGAATGCCATCAAAAGGGCTGCCAAGTGTTTTAAATAAAAATATTAAATTTAAAGTTAACTCTTATCTCAGTAAATGGGTAGTTAAAGAAAGGTGACTGCAATTTTTTTTATTTAGAGAATATAATAAAAATGTTTGTAAGGTTGCCAACACTTCATCTGTAAATTTAAATAAATATATCAAAATAAAACACAACAGCATGTTTTTGCCTATAATTTAGTATTCTCGTAAACAAGTTTATATTTTAAAAATTTTAGTGCAGGGTTGCCACACAATTATTTATCTGAAAGTTTTCTGAAATATTAAAATAGTAATATGGGTATCAAACGAAAGGTAATTGCAGTACCATTCTTTTTAAAATATTTTCATGCAGGGTTGCCAGCATTTTGCCTATTAAAATAAAATTTAGGTTTTACATCAAAAAATGTTACTAGATTTCGGCTTTCAATTATTTTTTTATAATTCCTGTTGAATATATTGTGCTTTATACTTTTTTTGAGCAGAGTTGCCATATGAATTATTTTCGTGAAATATTAAAATAGCAATATGGGTATCAAACGAAAGGTAATTGCAGTACCATTCTTCTTAAAATATTTTCATGCAGGGTTGCCAGCATTTTGCCTGGTTATCAAACGAAGACCTACAAGACTTTCAATATGAACATATTTTAAGGCAGGGTTTCCATCACTTCATCTGTTGAAATTAAGGAAAAATTCAAATATTAAAATAAATATGATATGGTAAATAATTGTATTGAATTTTTATTTTATAACTTTTAAGTACAGTATTGCCATATTATTTATGCACTTTATAAAAGATTAAGGATGTACTGGGAGTATGGAAAAAACAGCAGCTTTTAAGAACATTGTAAAAAATATTTAAAATAATTTCCTATAAATTAATACGCAAATTCAAGTATCGTTTTTTCATCTTAATTAAAACGTTTTATTTAAAATATGAAATTACATTTTGATAATCGTTTACTTTGAAACTTTTAATTCACTTTTTGGTAATTACGTGTATACATACATATTTATGTAAATTTGTTTACTTTTAACTTTTATATTAATCGGTAGTTACATATATTACATGGCTAGAAAATTTACAACAAGTTCCTAAGCGATATTACATTAGTACTTAGATGTGTATGCTTGTGTGTTTTTGTTTGTGTTTGTTTTGGTTTTTGTTTTTGTTATTGTTTTAATATGTGTACATGCATTAGTTCCCAACTCAACTGGATTCATTCAAGAAATTCGTTAGTTCCGAGTATTTTTTACCAAACTCGTTTGTGTGCACTCCCTGTTTCATTCCCGCTGCCTCTTCCCATCTACTATTTTCTTCCTTCTTCTTCCACTTAATATCTAATACCTATTTCATGGATTAGTTCAATTCTTTACGCGTTGTGTTGGGCAACATCAAGCACATGAGACCGCCGCCTATCAACAGGATGGCCACAATAAACGTCGGCGCCGGGCAATATTGATCCAAAAGTGTGGCAATCACAATGTTACCAATGATGCCACCCATACGCGCCGCCACCATCGATATGGCCACACCGGTGGCGCGCAAATGTGTCGGGAACACCTCGGTGATGAGACAGTCCAAGGCCGCATTGGCCGCCGATATGGCACCGCTAAATATAGCCGTCACAATCAAGTTCTGTGTAGAGTTGAAGACGAAGTACATGGCAGCCGAGCACACACCAGCCGTCATGGTGCCGAAGATGAGGAAGAATTTGCGACCCAACAAGTCCATGCCCAAAATGGCAATCAAGTTGGCTGGCAGCGCCGATGCCAGTGAAATCAGCGACTCCTGGAAAACGCTTTGCGGTATATGCGCTGAACAGGTGCCCGTCTCCTTCTCACCCTGACCGACGACATATGCGGTCACTGTGCAGACACCAGCACGTTCGCCGGGGTGATCGCGACTGTATTCCTCGAAGCGATTGAAGAGCTCGGGGAACCACATCATCAGACCGTAGTAACCGATGTGAAAGGTGAAATTGATGATGATCGAGACGAGCGTGAATTTCAATATGGGCGAGGTGAACAGCTGTTTACTGTGCTCGGCCATGCTCGACATCATTTTACTGT